ACGTATTATTTGTACAACATTCGTGAACGAGAGGCTTTAAAAATCGAGACACCTAGACATTCTGGGCGTTCTAACGTGGCAGTACACACGGGTATAAGACGTGCTTACTATATCGTGTGACGGCGTGAAACGTTGCATCACATTAAACAGATTATATGTTCATATCATCTCTCGAACATTACTCATTGTGTTTACCGGACGAGTTAAAACATTTCGTAGGAACATTGTGATCCCTTCGTTTACGCCTATTCATTTATGCTAGAGAAATGCTGGGCTCTGCTGGCGGGTTAGTCCGTAATCAAGCTAACAGATGGCGAGTACCCAGTGATTATTTTAAGCAAGACCGTGGGATTGTCGATATATAAGAACAGCACGAGGGGCGATAGCAGCGGGGTGTATATCACGGGCTGCTCTGTGAGCTGCCTCGTGTAAGCGGTCATCTCCCAGTTTATATAAATATGAAATATTTAACGTTATTTACCAATGCTAGTAATGCCAAAGAGGAACACACATACACGCAGGCCCGCACGCACGCACACGCACACGCACACGCACACGCACACGCACACGCACACGCACACGCACACGCACACGCACACGCACGCGCTACACACACACACACACACACACACACACACACACACATGCATGCATGCACACATACATACGCGCACGAATGCAAGCAAGCACGCACGAACGTGAGCATGCACGCATGCGCACACGCACGCAAGAACGAGCGCGGGCACACACACGCACGGAACTTCAAAACCGAGCCTAAAAAATAATATAAAAGATAACACATAAAAGATAATATAATATAATATAATTTCGTTTATAGTGAAATATGAAATCTAACAGAGTTTGAAGAACAGGGGAGGGCCAACAAAATTAATAACCTAACAGCTAGTTTAATTGTTCGCTGAGTAAGAAAAATCAGCGTCATGTCTGGCATAACGCTATTGGTCCGTGGTAACGAACACGGACCAATAGGATTTATTCTGTCAACAGCTCGTAATACCACGCGGGCTTTTGGTTGTTCTGCGTGTCAATTCGGGACACTGACATGTGTGTGTGTGTGTGTGTGTGTGTGTGTGTGTGTGTGTTGGAATTTCACAGAAGGTCATACGTGCAATAACGACTCTGACAGTTTTAATATAGCTATACAGCGACATGACTGCTCAGAGCACGTGAAATCACGATCTATTGCACGAAATAAGTGTTATGTATGTTTCTTTAGATTTATATATCATAAATGTACTTGTACATTGCACACGTGTGTCGAGTAATATGAACGCTGTTACCGCGTAGACGGCATATTATAACGTGTTAGTTGCAAATCTAAGTGAAAAGGTCTAAACTTAATATTACACATCGATGTAAATAGGTGGGACCCCTATATAAGTGTTTTAAAACTATACAAGTTACCTTAGTCGGAGTCATTCGTCCATTTTCAGTTAAAAGGCTACACCAAGGGATTAGAGTGGATTTAGATATGACCAAAATATATCACTACTGTATCATCTTAAAAAAGTACTTAGTAGTGATATATTTTTGATAATATGCGTTGTTATTATATGACTGTCATTTTTCCCACACGCTGATTGGTCAAAACCCCTCTTATAGGTCTAAATATATTGCGATGTTCCACCGAAACCAGGTCCAGTTATAGGTCTTATAGGTCTAAATAAATAGGTGAATGTCATATAATAAAACAGTTATTGACCTATTTTCAGGTGAATACGAGGATTTATTAACCCTCGAAGGTGATATTTCTCTCGGCCTCCGGCCTCGGGAAATATCACCGTCTCGGGTTAATAAATCCTCGTATTCACCTGAAAATAGGTCAATAATTGTATAATATTGCGTTCATTGTTACACGCTTGTCAGCGTGATTCGAACTTTATAGGAGGCCACGAGAATATGTGAATGATATTTATGCTATTACGAGAGAGGTAATAACGTATACGCAAAATCTATGCACTAATTTACTCCCGATATGTTAAGTAAGCTCATAATCATCGTGTTTCAATTCTCACCTAACCAAAAATTTGATGTTACTCGTGGATTCACTACGAAACAACAAGAATTTGAAATATAGCATTTCTATTGTGTGTGTAGGGCCGTAGCTACATCACGCAATGCAAGGTCTATAAATCGCCTTGCGTGGTGCCATCTGGTGACGAATATAGTTGGCTTTATCACCGAACTCGTGCGTTTTACGTGACATACCGATTTTCATCTACTTTCCCAAGAGCTCTCTTCGTTTCAACATGTATTTTACGTGTGTGGATTTTGCAGATTTTGTGGTTGTTTGCTAAATAAAGCGTGCTAATTATTTTTACATAAACAAAATAAACGTGTTTTGAAGTATTCTACGCATAGGAATACGATATGAAATGCTAGTATATACGCTGATCATATAGAGTGTTACCTAGTTATAGCTAGCAGTTATAGTGCTACTCATCGTTATTCTTCATGGTTTATACTCACACACCGCAGTAGTTGTTATCGTCATTCACTGTTCATTTAATCCTAGTTTTATTCCTTAATTCTGAATTATTCAGCAATTAATTCGTTAAGCATTCTAAACTATGAGCATTACCCGCATACACTTATTAAGCCTACTTGTGTATCTTGCCTACGGGTACACACAAGGCTACCTATACAGTATATTTACACTAGATTCTGACTCGTTCTAACTGCCTACACTAGATATTCTGCACCACAGCTTTTCCTCTCGCTTTTTATAATTACTACTGGTGAATTCGACAATGCGTATAAGCCATCACGACGTTCTCCTATCTACGCGCTACACTCCGATGATTTTGTTGCTCCGTTTACGCAATCATAGGCGCCCATGCATAATTACCTGCTTTTGTACTAATTACTTAATTAATTATGCTTATTATTTATTAGAGAGAATGGTACTCAACCTCTATAATCGTATATAATCATATATCAGCGGTTGTTACTGGTTACAAATACACGGCGTCATAGACTGTGAGTTTAAATGAATATAACCGGATGTAGTTTGCATGTGCGATTATATAATGTTTGTACCAACTATCGCTATGTGCACACGTGGACGCTATATTAGTGCTTCTATCCAATTGAATTCCTGATATGGTACTTAATTTGCCGCGAAAGAAAATCTCTCATAACTATTAACAGAAACAAAACTAAAGTTACGTGCACCCGACAACCATACGCATTCGTGCTTGAACTGTGAAGGATGTAACCTGGAATTTTGGCATGTAGTTATACTGATTCTTATGCATCGAATTTCTAAGCGAAGACGTAACATTAACATGAATAACACGAACTAACACGAATATTTTCTACCGATTCATCGGGAGTTTGGTTTTGATTTGCAGTCAAAAAGGAAATGAGTAGTATTTGCGTAAGTTCTACTCCATTTGACACTAGGTGGCGATACTATATAAACCTATATACCGGTTCCTATCGGGTCCGCCACCGAACCCACCCTTCTGCAATCGCAACTCAAACTTAATAAAACAACAATAAAATCAATAAAGAAAAATGCAAAGGGATTATTTGGGCCAGAGCTTTAACATGTCCTAATATTAATTATGCAATAATGCTTATGCGTGTGCGTACCCAATACAATACTTCAGTCGGCCAGTGCCCGATGCATACATATATAAGTAAAGGAACTGAGATCGCGCCAACAGGGGGCGCACACGTCGTCAGACGGAAGCCTGGCAACCACTGGTCGATAGAAGAGTGGTAAGAAGTCGATAGAAGACGAAGTCGAAGAAGTCGATAGAAGACTAATAACTTATTCGCCAGCCGCAGAGCCCGATTGTTCAAAAGTGGATCCGCGTGATTCACTTTTAAACAATAGGACACCGAGGGCAGATTTTACTGGCGCATATATCGGCGAGAAACTCTTGCTAGGCGTTCCACACGGCTGACAGGCACATCGTAGAGCCACGTCAGGTGCATAACGAATTATTAATATACGGGGCATGCCTTCAAAGGTTAGCGGCCTATAGATGTCGCCCAATGGGATGTACACTGCTGTGTTCAGAGTAGTAATTACCCTACTAAATTGGCTAACCGCAGGCGTTCTGCAGAGTGCTATGCCTTCGAGAAAAGTATAAGATGGGCGCAATTAACACAGGATATTGAATTCTGCGCGGATGAAGTGTACCCGTAAGAATGTTAATATAGACCTTGCGAGAGTAAACCGTCATATAGGGCCTACGTAGGCCTACATACCGCTGTAGCTGACCACACGACAGGTGGAGGAAAGGATAAGGGAGGGTTGGTGTGCCTGGCGGCATCTGATGTTGTAGGATATTATGAGTCGATCATTACTGGCGCATGCATGTATATATTATGTTTATATATATACATACATACGCATATATATATATATATATATATATATACATATGTTGCCAAACAAAAACTGAGCGAATGGTTTGCAGACCGATACCAGGTACTTGGTTACAATATACAACCTACGTACGCTTAATTATGTACAAAATCTGACCGTCGTTTGTTCCAAAAAATTAATAGAAAAACACTCAAATGACGCAATCCCGGAGGGCACTCCCTATATATTGTATGGTAGGTATGTGCCGCGGGAGAGACCCCACTTTTCACCTCAAAATTTTTGTTCCGGAGACCCCTCTTTTCACCCCCTTCTCACATTCCGTTCTGGAGACCCCCCTTTTCACATATTTTCCGTTCCGGAGACCCCCTTCTCACATATTTCCCGTCCCTGCGCATATGTTCTACTTTTTGTCCGCACGTTCCGGAGACCCCCCAATTTTGATGTGCTGAGTTATTACCAGAGCCCACAATTCGATCTCTCAAGTGGCACATACCTACCCTATTTTGTAGGCCAAGGGAGTGCCCCCGGGGTTTCCCCACAGTTCTGGAGACCCCCTCTTTTAAACGTGTCCAGTTCCATAGCATTGCATTTCAACGAAATCCTAGTTCCGGAGACCCCCATTTTCGAACATAGCCAGTTCCAGAGCATCCCACATTCAACAAACATTAGTTCCAGAAACCCCCATTTTCAGGTATGAGTTAGTTCCAGAGCCCCCCCCCCCAATTTTTGACTTCGCAGTGGCACATATACCATAGTGTGGCGTGCTTGCCCTTGCAATGTCCTTCCTCACGGTGCTATTCGCAGTGCGATAACGTTATTATCCACACACCCATTGCTATTGTTTTTTGCTATTGCATTACTATTCCATTGCAGTGCATTGCAGTACTATGCAGCCATTGCATTGTAATTGTAATTGCATTGTTATTATACTATTGTCACTATACTATTGCCATTGCCATTGCTGAATTTTGGCTGAATGCCAACCCCCGTTTTCAATGTCAAACATCGACGACGAAGGCGTGGCTGTCTAGACCAATCAGCGCACGAGCTGGTGGCGGGTGTGTGCGTTAACGATTTCTTTCATGGCGCAGCAGCAGCGCGGGCAAACCGCGCATCATTCACCATTCGTGCGATGTTCCACCATCGATGCGTGCAGTGAGCCCATACACGTACGTTATCACAGCTGACCGACCTACCTACACGCGTTAGAGCGTAGGTACGTATACCGATTTTGCACTATCGGAAGAGTTTAGACTTATATGTAGCGCTATCGATGTAAACGTAAACATAAAACATGTTCAGATAGGCGAATATCGAATCTGTATATCTGTAAAATATACACATGACAATGGTTATATTGGGGCGGCGTATAGGGCGGCGGCGTCCTAGTTTGCGGCGTACATGTAGGCTACAGTACCACAGGCACAGGCACTTGGAACGTCTCAATAAAAAAGGTCAATAAACACGAAATGTATTTACTACCAAAGTCTTAATGTTTCTCTACTATATTTCGCCAATTATTGCCGATATAATAAGTTACTCTCTTATTCATGTTGTTTGTGCACAGGGCGGGCGTGCGGTGTATGTTGCAGATGAGCATTTGACCGACATTTACGGGTAATTACTAATTATCGGTAATAATAGGTGAAATAGAGTAGAGAAACATTAAGACTTTGGTAGTAAATACATTTCGTGTTTATTGACTTTTTTTTTTAGACGTTCCAAGTGCCTGTGTACGTACAGTACAATATAGCTGGCACTACTACTAGGTACTACTACTACTACTACTACTACTACTACTACTACTACTACTACTACCAGGCCCGTAGCCAGCTTTATATTGTGGGGGTTCGTTTTTATATAAATGTTGGCAATTTGTGAGGGCGCGAAGCGACCGAGCGACGGAGCACAGCGACCGAGGGGGGGGGGGGGTTCCCGCACGATGGAGATTTTGCAATTATTACACTAAAATGGAACAATCTGGTGCATACCTGAGGTGAAATTCTTGCAATATTTTTTTTTTGCTTGGGGGGGGGGGTTGTGCAAATGCCCCCTGGCTACGGGCCTGACTACTACTACTCATATGATAATTGATATGTATTATCAGGCGACATATATACTAAGCCATAGCTAGATTTCTACGCGATTGATATTACTAGACGTATATATAACTCAATAGGCAAGATATGCCACTAGCTTACTCTGCTGCCAATGCTGAACATGCAGATACATTATACGAAGAAGAGCACATAAGCCCTAAGCACACGGATGGCCGTATCGTGGAACGTAAACAGTCGAGATTTAGAAATGAAGCCCTAGGAATCAGCCATGCAACGGATATGCCATAAGTTCAGAGATGTAATGCAATGCTGGCGGGCTATGTCTTCTGTAATGGTCTGCATGGGTACACTTAATTAGAATCAATACCAATAGCTGCATGATTATTAAAATATTATGATTATATTAATAAATGATTATTAAAATATAACCATGTACTGTTTCTCATAGGCCTTGTGCTAGCTAGCCCGACCAGGCTGTGTGACTAACGTCAATATACACAGGTCTTATACATAGGTCAATATACACAGGTCTATATATACTAGGTATTCTAACCCTAGCAAAGACCGTTTCTTGGAGCTAGGTGCAAGCATATCTTTGGGCGATCTATGAGTTTGTTTAGTTTCTAATCAATACCGTAAGTTGTATTGTGAATTTTAAATGTTTAATAAACGAGTACTAGCATTTTTCATGTGGCATATGTGCATTTTAACTTTTTATAAAAAGTTAACATGCATATATATGCCACATGAAAAATGGTTGGTCATTAACAAATGAGGTGGTGCAATGTGTATAGTGGGCTAAATGTTACTATTATATTACGCTTTTACCGTTCCATGGAATTCGTATATCAGATTAAATTGTGGGGACAATCATTATTCTTGTGTTGAATGTGCAGTGAAGTCTTAGTATATGTGGTCAATATCCAATTTGTGTGGATATGAGCAAACATGGGCTTGACTGGATCAGACAGGATAGGGTTGCTAGTTCGCTCAGCATAGATGTTGTCTCTTATTACTGTTTGCCTACTTAGCAGAGAGAAGCTCTGAGGCATTGTCTCATAAATCTACTGCTTCAGAATCAAGTCCTCTCCATACTCAAAATGTGCACATAGCATATGTATGTGGGCTTACTTGATCCTAAAGTCAGTTTCATAAACGTACTTATCCCTTTGTATAGATTTTATGGTGTGAAAATAATCAGTAGGAGTCTTTTTGGCAATTTGCAGGAATAAAAAATCTGATCTAAAAATGAAAACACATTCAAAACCCTTGCACAGTGCGACATTATCACGATGTTTTTTTGTTTCTTCTTCTTCCACCATATAATGCAAGTAACCATGCTGTCATATCAACATATTATACTGTCACTTTTACATGTTTAAGTTATTACAACCATTGCTAGATGTACTTGTTTGTATGACAAGGTGACGTACCTTGGTATGGGAAGCTGAACCATGGATTGCCTAAAGGCAACCTGAGGCTAGCTAGGGCAGCCGAGGAAGCTATAATATTATATCTCCCGATAGCGACACAATCTGATGAAGGTCTCTCCCCTCTCCAATGCTCTGTACATTAGCTTAGTGTATAATATAGGGTAATCTGGCGATGCCCCCACCCCTTCTCTGTTTATCAAGTACGAATGATCTAGGCTGTACACTCTATCATTCAAGCTGTCATTTGCAATGTACGTATTTGATTACTAAGAGTCGTTCCTAATGAAGTGGCACCCGTTAATGCAATCGTTTGCCTTTACCTTTGATGTATGCATCCACAGAATATCATGCAGGGACCTCCTGACCTAATTAAGGTGGTTGTAACCTTATATATATATATATATATATATATATTCGTCAAAAATGCGTTGGTTATTGAGTTCCAGCATCCAGTAAAACATGTACTTTTACTTTTAGGTTAACTGTATATATGGGGGAGTGAGCAGAGATATGTCATTTCAATAATGTTGGATGGCATCTATATACTTTCAAATTTCACTCACCGATGGTTCTTTTAACCATTTGAGAACTTTAACCTCAGTCTCCACAACTTACCCATGGAATAGCTACACAAAAAAGATTTTCCTCTAAAACTGGTTGCTCTGTTCACTAGAGTGAAAGATGTTGTTTTTTGTATAAGGCTGGGACAGCCATCGATTAAGCTTCAGAATCTTCTCATAGCTAACTTTGATATATGGCTCTTTACAAATCCTTTTGGGTTTTTGATATTTTGAAAGAAAATCTTTCTGTCAGTATATTGAGCTGCTGTACAGTGAACGTCCAAAAAATCTGTTGTCACATTCGTACATTATAATATAGTGATGTAAATTGTGTCTAACAGCATAAATATAAAAGCTACATGCATGGTTTTTGATGGCATTGTATTGATGTTGCGTGCAGATGGTCATAGAGAATAGTGTTTCCCCTGCGTTGACACGAGCGAGGCGGGCCACCTCGCTATAAGTCTCAGCCGCCACACAGAAATTTTTCCAAAACACTGCCTCGCTGACGAAAATCAATGTTCTTCCATAGAACAGTGCTTAGAATGCACCGTATTGCATCATTTTTGGGCGATCACCTGCGGTGCTCGCTTTGCTAGGACCTCGAAACGTGAAAACACAACAAAAAAATTTACCACCTTATACCTTTTTGGCCAAGGGGAACACTGGAGAATATCACATCATGTACTACTTCATCAATTCCATATTGACAAAAGAATTTTTGTGGTAATTCTCATTTTTGGCTGTAAAATGCAGAATGTCATTATAGCTATCTCACAAAGATGCAAGCTGGGAAACGTGTAAGTATTTGTGGAAGTGCAGCTTATCTATGCGTGCAAGTAATGAAGTAATGAAGTATGGTGAATCCGGTGTATAATGGCTATTCATAGATTGCTCCATTCACAATCAACCACTCATATGTTATCAAGGTAAACCCCTGACCTTTGGCCATTGCGTAGAGGTCGTTTCACTGTGTAAATGTCACTCTTGAAAAGAAAATGCCAAAAGTATTCTTTATATATATATAAATAATATTTATATATATAATAGGTGTTTGTTCGGAATAGGTGCTTCCTAATATAGATTTCCCTGATAACAAAAATGCATTCCTGTGATTGAGAACGTGTAAGGAGTGCATATACATGGAAATATGCGTTATTTTCCACATCTTTGTTATGTTGGTGTAAGGTTCTGTATATGTATGTAACAGCACAGATTGATTCTGAGAAGGTGTCTATAAACAGAAGGTATAGCGAGTTAATAAAGATTCAACCTAAACTAGCATGTAGCACCAAGCTTATATACGGGAGGCACAATCGCAACAGCAGTCATTTTTATATCCCAAAATAAAAGTTTAAAAATGGGAAATCAGCTTAGTATCTCCTCTATTCAGTCTATGAATGAACAGAAATATGTACAGTTTGATTAAATGTAATCGAATCGAAACAATAGAATAAATGTATGTAATCCTGGAAATGACACTACATCAATCATGCTCGGATTAGGAACGGCATGTTTCTAATGATGGGCTCTTATAGGATAATAAGTTAATTATGAGATATAAAAGCGAAAAATTCATGAATATTGAGTTATATCAGTTTTAAGTGTATGCCAGTTGTGGGTTCTTTGATATATATCTGAGATGTTATATATAACCATCTTCGCTCCTCACCTCTGACTGGTTTGATCAGAACCACCCCAGTTTCTGAGAGTATTATCTTTATCTAGCATATTACCCCAAAATCAGAGAGGCTGAATTTACTGTGGCTTTAAGGATAAACCTTGAACTGTGGTACTGATTGCCTGAACTAAAATGGTTTGCATGCCCTAAAACATCACTGAGTAAGCTTGAAGTGAAGCCAGTTGGCTTTCTGGTTTTTCAGCAATGATAAATTCAGTTCACCTGCTAGTTCTAGCTATCATGTGATGTGTCTTCAGCAACGTGGCTATATAGGTCCATTGCCTTCACCAGTGCTGTAGCTGGTAGTGAAACTATAGCTCCAATTTCTTCACTATTGTAGCTGGTATTGGAGCTGGGTTTAATGGACCAACGTCTTCATCAGTGCAGCTGCTAATTGAGCTATATCTCTCGTCTCGTCATCATTATAGCTTGTAAATTGTGTTAGGTCCAATGTGTTCATTATTGTTGTGTGGCTACTGGCTAGGCTTGGCAGCGTGCTTGGGACAGTGGTCATCACAGGCACTTGGAGCGTTTCAATAAAATATAATGCTAAATAAATACGAAATCTATTTACTACCAAAGTCTTAATGTTTCTCTACTCTCTTTCACCTATTATTGCCAACAATTTTCTGTAAATGCCGTCCAAATGCTCATCTGCAACACACTGTCACACGCTGGCCGCCGCACGCTAGCTGCTGCACACTGAGTCACTGACACATAAATATATTTATGTGTTTATAACTTCATTTGTCAGTGTGCAGCAGCTAGCGTGCGGTGTACTTGTGTGTTGCAGATGAGCATTTGACCGACATTTACAGGTAATTATAGGCGAAATAGAATAGAGAAACATTAAGACTTTGGTAGTAAATACATTTCGTGTTTATTTACCTTTATTTTTATTTTATTGAGACGTTCCAAGTGCCTGTGGTGGTCATGACAGTCATGAGATAGTGGGAAGAGTTTAACAATTGTCAAGTTCCCAGTGATGCACATATGAGCGAAGCCTAATACCGCCTTAGCCAAACACATGGCATGTGGTGGGTGCTGTATACGGCTTCTTAGACTATACTGTAATGTAATGATTTGAAACATGATCGGATTGACTGTTAACTTTCTCCTGCTGCAGGCTAAATTATAGACACTGTGCGATGTGATGGCAAAGTAATCTATACTGTAACAGTACGTGTAACCTTATATCCCGTTGCAGTGATTGCTGCCGCTCGTTAATGATGTAAATGTCTTCAGGTCTTGGGTTTGTATTGCGAGTGAGCAATTCTTCAGCACACGTACCTCATCAGCTCACTGTATATATCGCAATTATGTTTACTTAATATTTAGTTAGCTTAATTAATTAATTATTTCAGTGTAAATAGACTTGTAAGCTGTATTCTCAACATTTTCCCATAAGATACTGGCTATAGACTGTGCTATGTCGGAATTTCGTTTTGTGTTGCTAGTCGTCGTTGATGTCTAATCAAATACTTCACATCTCATGCACTTCAGGTAATTGCTTTTGCCACGAGAATGGCAGAATGTAAGGATACACGATGCCTGGCCGTGTTTCACTGGATCTGGAAGAATCGCCGTGGGCTGATTCTCGTGTTAACACCACTTTTACTTCTTCCTCTGATCACCGTCGTTGGAACTACGGTGAGTTCCTAGATCACTTCTTAGAAATCATTTGTTTACTCTAACCAGACTCGTCAGTTTTTGCGGTGAAGGGTAACTAGGCAGGCAAACGAAATTCTCATTAGCTGCTATTGAAAATAAATTTTTTTTTAATGTAAAATCTTTCTCAGCTGGCATGGATTGGAGTGGCTGGGTGAATATATGCAGTACACTGGAACCCACTAATCATGATGGATTGAAGTTTATTTAAGAAGTTTCATTATGATATTTTAATCTCACGTGCTCTGTAATTCTAAAGACAATTCTGCACACATTTTTATGTGACAATAATCGTCCTACCCTCTTTGCAGTGCATCTCTCTCAGTGTGTAGGTTGAACGCTGTACGTAGGGAAGCTTTCGTGTCATTGTCGTTGGTAGGTTAAACTTACAGACAATGAAGCGAATGATAGCGAATGAAGCATTAGGGAGTCTGGTTGGACAATCTGCTATGAGATAATGAGACGAGTGCATTCTTAATCTTGCAATGTCGGAGACGTGGTTAGAGCTTCCATACCAGTGGTCGAAATTACCATATTTGCACTCTTCCAGGATAATCAGCTCTGCTTCCAGAAAAAAATGAAAGTAACTAATTACTTTCCCGACATCAAAGATAGGAAAGAACTCGCTTTTCTTAATCGTGTTGTCTCTGGGTAGTGGCGTAGCTAGGATTTTTTCAGCAGGGGGGCACTGGGGGGGCCTTACATTTTCGTGGGGGGCACAATATATAACTTTTCTTTGTATTATACTGTTCTAACGGCATTGTTTTTAATTCAATTTGTTTTATCAACCATGAATTTTCAGTGGGGGGGGGGCACCTGGGGGGGAACAGAAAATTTGTGGGGGGGGCACGTAGCTCCCCCGTAGCTACGCCCCTGTCTCTGGGTAGTTTGCTGTTACACAGTCCGACCTTCATAGAGGTCATAGCGACGGGTCTTCCCGTGGAAAGCATTAGCTCCCTAAATAAAGCTTTCCTAAACGCTGGGTATTGGTATTACTGCAGATGTAGTTTGCAGTCATGTGGTTCCTTCGCAGTTGGTTTTTCATGACCCATTGACCCACTTCTCTTTAGGAGAGTTTCTGACATATATGCCAACTTAGGCCAAAACAAAATATATGTCTGGTTACCGTTCCATGCCGAAAAAGGGTAGGTAGGTAGGGAAAACATTTTATTTCCTTGAAATATTTTATTTACGAACCATGTTCGAAGTATGTGCGTTGTGCCTTTTGAAGCAGGAACTGAAATTACACAAATTGAATTTAAAATTTTTTAAACTGAATAAAATGTTTAGGGTAGCTGGGAATAAATAGGGTTGGTCGGGAAACCGTAACTACACCTATATTTTGTTTTGGCCTTATTTGTTTCAGCAGGCCAAGCCAGCCACTGTTTTCTGCGAGTTTGAGAAAGAAAGCTGCATATATGCGCTTCCATAGAATTGTCCACATGGCAGAAACTCTCCTAAAGAGAAGTGGGTCAATGGGTCTTGAAAAACCAACTGCGAAAAAACCACATGAATGCAAACTACAGCTGCATTCCATCAGGAGTAGATAATAGGGAATATTAGGGAGATATAGGGGATATAGATAATATTCCCTATTATCTACTCCTGATTCCATGCTGATTCCTTTCCAGCTAGGCTGACCCCCCTGGGCTCCTGCTCTAATATAGGTCTGTGGTTTTCGTGTTAGTTTACGTTGGGCGCAGCAGATCTTGTGACCTTCTAAAGGTTGCCATGGCATGTGAGAGTATTCATCGTTGCTATGACCAGGCGCGGATTTAGGCCGGTTTGCACCGGTTTCCAGAAACCGGTCACAGGCTGGGTATCTTCAGAATTGACCCTCAAAATTCGCCAAAATGCACCAAATATAGCCTTTTTTTTAAATTCCCGGGGGGGGGGGCATGCCCCCGGACCTCTCTAGCTGTGACTAGAACTATGGAAACTGGCCACCCAAACGCTCTGGATCTGCCCCTGATGACACCACCCTACCCACGCCTGCCGTGCACACCCTCCACGTATGAAATTCCTTTCATAGTAAACATCCATTTGTTCCAGTTTCCCAAATATTTGTAAGTAATGCAGTTGGACTGCCATAGTTTGTAGGTCATTTTCTCAATGAGTGTTGAACGACACTTCCGTATTATAAGCTCATGCATCTGATTGGTGCTTTCGCTATAGTCTGGGTTAGGTTCTTGCACATTTGAACTCAGCACGATTAGTTATGGATTAATTACCGTACCGTACGTAATAGCCATATAAGAACAATATACCAAACATACTCAAATGCGTTATAACATCACTCCCACGATAATATATAACCTCAATATAGGCTATTAAATATTGCCAGCAATAAAGTGTCTAGACTTCATACATTATGTACACCACTAGTACACGACACGTGCCTGCTGGCACTGTCTACTCTGTTTGCATGGTCTCGGTGCTCTCACGAATCTTGGCCGTACAGATGTATAGCTATAACGCAATCCTATCTACGTCTATGGATCATAAACCGAGAGCTTGGTCGCTCCATCAGCTGACATATGACTAATGCGAAAATCCTCTGCGATGCCTGTGGCAGAGCGAAGCGAAGGGCAGAGCGAAGGGCAGAGCTAGAGCGCTCTAACTAGGACAGCGTGTTCTTGTTACCGCGAGCGATTATGTTTACTTTAATCACTGTGCTGCGGTACGTTCATTGGCGCGCTTGCATGCCTTTGGGGGTTGCTACCCCTCCCTTCTTTTTCACATCGAACTTTCCGCACATCCGAGGTTCGAATTTTCGAGTGAGCAAGCATGCCTATCAAAGCTTCATTGGGTTTTAGGGTGCGTTGACTGCGCCACTGATGTCAACTGCGTATGCGACTGCTGAATGCCCAGGTACCAACGTGCGATTAGTTCCTACCTCCAGGCGACATGTCCGAATTTATTGCTGGAAATTCCAATCGTTCTACGAAGATGACTTATTGCTCCTGGTAGAAAAAGCATGCGTGTATGGCCGTGACATGATCCCATCCATCTTCATTCCAAGCGCAAAATCCAGGGCTATGCGTAATATCGGGAGTAGCCGACAATAGGAAATTTCCCATCAATTCCTGAAACTATTTGTAGATACTAGCCAGAATAACATGATTAACAGATTGTTAAACATTTTAAAAACCGACTGCTTATCATCTCATCTCATTACATCACATCGTTAGAGATCTTTTGCAGTGTGTTCTATTACATGCTTGTCCATCCCCTAACTCGCGATACAATCATTGGATGTAATACACGCGCGCTATGTTGTGTGTAGTTTTATTTCTTCTGAATCATGATACGGTGTCGTCGGGCTAGCTCAGGTGTGACTATAGCTATTACCAGCCTCCAGGTGACAGGAGGGTTAGCCAAGAAAAAAAATCAGGGAGTCTCACCATCTGAGCGAAGCGCCTTGCCTTAAAATGGAGGAGATTTAGTGATAATTAGATATGATTTTATATTCTTATAAGCACTGTTGTCAGTTATACAAGGTGTATAATTGGGCCGCCCTCATGCCGTCTCTATCCAATTTCATCCGTCTCATCCAAGAATAGGCCGTCCAAAATGACGGGTAGACGGGTCTCTGGCTAACACACTGCTCCAGGTACTGCGTAAATAACTTTCACATCGGCAGGTGTCAAGGCCCAGGGTAGGAGCTAGGAGAAGGTAATCACGGTGAAGCCATACCCAGAAGCTGTTTATCTTTACCACATTGATAGTTTGACTTGCTCGTCAGTTTTGTTGATTATATCCGTGCAGCAGCTTGATGAAATGTGCCAATGCTTGCCCAACACTCGGCCTGCTTCCCCTGCGATTGAATCGAGGGAATCAATCCATCCATCGCTGACTCGCCAGTGGGTATTCTTCACTCGCATATCACGGCTCACGAGGCAACTCTTATGTGAGTTATAATTTAACAGTCGCACTCCCTAGCCCACCAGGCTCTGACCGTACCTGTCCAGTACCTGAACGTAGCCACTTAGTGAGAAGCGAGAAGGTAACTTGTAGCTGTCGCACTCCCAAGCACGGTGACGTTTATCTATTCTGGCCGCGTAGATTTGACGTAAATGTTTCTATTATCACCAACACCATTAGAAAGAATCGTTTTGCCAGTAGTAATGTTGGTGACATTACATCTCTACGCATCCACTGCATGCAGTAGGGTAACGTATTATTTCACGTTTTAACGATTAGGCCTTTAAAAAGATAAAGGTTGCAGTTGGGGTGCATTTGTTTATTTATTTTACTTTTTTACGTAACGTTTATTTATGTTATTTGCAGAACTCTTTCCGCTTTCGCCCCAGCGTTTCAAGATAACACAGTTCTTCCCCGTTCGTTCAAGTTCTCCTAGCTCTGTCAGGTCTTTTCGGTTTTCCCAGCTGACCCACTTCTTTACAGTTCTTCCAGCTATGACCAACTCTCCCTGTTCTCCCTGGTTCTTCCCAACTCTCCAATTTATCAGGGCTGCGTCTCATTCGTTACTTGATAGTAAAGACAGGCACTTTGAGCGTTTCAATAAAAAGAAATAGTGTTGCAGAGGAGCATTTCAACGGCATTTACAGGAAATTATCGGCAATAATATGCGAAAGAGGTTAATAGAGAAACATTAAGACCTTGGTAGTAAATACATTTCGTGTTTATTTAGCATTATGTTTTTATTGAAACGCTCCAAGTGCCTGTGGTAGTAAACATACGGCAGATGCTTACGCAGCCTGATTTATTTCAACACTTGATTGACAACAATGGCTTAATTGGCCAGAAGAACGAGCACAAGCACTAATGGGACGAAACGCGGCGTAGTAAATTCAGCAATGAATTCTCTACTCGAAGAGAAAGTGATTATCGAGATAGAACGAGAGGCGGAGTGGAGCTTAGAAAGCCGATGGCGATACAGTGTGACAGAAGGAAAAGTGATAAATAGCTGGTGTTAAAGGAGGGTAGAGGAAAATGAGACAGCGAGAGAGAGAGAGAGA